CCCCAAAACCCCAAAACCCCAAAACCCCTATTTGTAGGAATAACATTGAAAGATAATGGATTATGCTTGGGCAACTCAAATTACCTTTCTCTACAAGAAATAATTTTGAGTTGCATGAACAATAAGGGAACTTCAGAAATCAAAAGATTATACAAACGAGACTTTGAAAGATAAACAGTAGATATTAAATTAGGATTAAGGTAGCTTTTACTTATCTCTTAAATCAAGCGAGATTATTGAATTTTATTTGTCACAATGTGTTTAAAAGCTAAAATTTCGGGAAGGACTTAAAGCCCAAAGCATAATATCCACACTATTGTGCATAAACCCCCTACACTATTAATTTGAATGTTAAATCTCATTCTATTTAGCCTTACTCAAACCAATCCAATTCATCAAGCCAATACACTTCTTAAAACCATGCTAACCTTTAATTCCTAACCTTCCTAATATTTCCACCCTATTTCCCACTATCCACTACCACCTCCCTCCTCTAAAACCCTTCTAAATCCTCTTCAAAATTTATGGACTAAAAACCCTCACGACTTAAGCACAAATGCTAAAAATATCAAAATCTTGTACTATCAATACTAATATAAAAGTCAAATTTCACACATAGATCTGGCTGCTTAGAACTTTGGGTTTTTATTGTAGGAAATCCTCATAGAATTCTTGCTCTCTTGACCTCTCTTTCTTGTGCCGAACGATGGATGTATTATTAAACAGTTTTTTAAGCTCCTCAATACTGTTAAGTCTGTTTCTTCTGAAGGATCTTTCGTAAATACTCTCGATTAGTCTGGAAACATGTGAAGAACAACTGAGTTTTTTGTTCTCAAAGAAGAGCTGGGAGTTTAGAGTTTTGTTCTTATTGTCAATATAACTTGTAACTGCTGCTGAGACCTAGAATTTAGAGGGTTATGTTACATTCCTGCTCTTGGTGATCTCTTCCATCTTGGATTGCTTCAGAGAAATAAATTGTGTGTTTTTATTTGATTGGGATTATTTTTGGATGCTCTCTTCTTGGCATATCGGTCATGTGAGATTTTAACTCAGCAGCCTAAAAATTTTAAACCTGTAATTATTTACCTTTATCCTTCCTTGCTCTTGTAAGTATCTATTTTTGATGTTTTCAAACGATTCTGAGAGTTGTTGGCGAATGAAATCATGACTAAAAATTATGTAAAACATCAAATCACCACAGAGGTAGATTGAAATCTTTGATAATATTTTTATTTGGTTTATAATCTCATTTTGGTACTTACTTCCTTCCTTTATAATTTTGTGTCATCTTGAAATTAATGAAAGGAGAGATCCATTTCTTGGTGCATTTATCATTTTTCTCCCTAATCTGGTCATCTCTTGGCATTGTATCGCCTAAATTTACACCATGTGGATACTCTTTTGAGAAAAGGTTGTTAGGTTATATTTTCTCAAGTTCTGGTTTCTCTTGACTCTATTGGCTATATTCTAAATTAGCATACAAGTCTATTAATTAAATACCTGAGAAGATATCTTCAAGTTTTGTCTTGGTAAATTTGTATTTCCTGAATTTTAAAGTTTTAACATACTTGACTTCACTAGGCTGGTTGATCTTATACCTTGATTTCTTCCTCTCAAGGTTAATCTTCTTAGTCAGAGATCTTGATGCAGGATTATCAACTTCATTGGTCTTTTGTAGGTAGCTATTATCTTCTCTTTCTACCAAAACTGGGGATTGAGAGTTTTGACATTTATTTTATCTAAATAAGATAGTATTAAAGGCCTACCTTGAGATTAAGAGATCTATTCAGCCTTTCCTGAAGTCTATTTGAAAAGGTCTATTCTGTGATAATCCTCGAAGCTTGGGTATTTAGAGAACTTATAAGGAAGCTTTTTGAACTCTTTTGGGTCTGGAGTCGCTGAATTTTTCAATACTTTGTTAAAATAATTTCCGATATTTAATTTTGAAGCTATCAAAATTTATTCGTTAGGACTATACTTTTATTTTTAAGATAAGGCAGATTTTGGCTTTTATTTTTAAACACTGAGCTGACTACGTTCCGAAACATTCCTTTTGTCCTGGGATCATACCCCATCGTATGTAACAACTTTCCTTCCTATATAATTAAATTGCATCCTATACCGTCCTGGTTTCACTTCTTGCATCATTTATTTCCTTGGATCGCCTTATTGTATCGTTCACGTATCCCTCCGATTCTTCTATATTGACCTATTCTTTATACTCTTGTTTGCCTAGAGTCATGATAAAGGGTTACTTTAGTTCTATGTTTGAACCTGATTCTTCGATAATCCGCTCTTTTTATCTCTTCGTCTTTGAATCCTTCACTTGAAGGTTCATCACTCAAGCTAAAATACACAAATTTGAATGAAAAACTTAGCCAAAGAGGTTTAAAAACGTATAAACACCAAAATTAAATCTACCCAAACCCAGCTTAGAACCACACATAAAAAATCCCAACAAAAAATTCCAAATCCTAATATTTCCCCCACCCCAACTTACTCAGCCTGCACATAAAACCCTGACTCACTGGTCTCCCTTCCTACACACATCACCTCCCCTCAACCCCTAAATTTACTCTTCTCTTCCATCCTCTCCATTACTCTTCACCTCTATTTTCAATATTTATAATAAAATTTGGGGTTTTGGGGTTTTGGGGTTTTGGGGTTTTGGGG